AAATCTGAGTTTGTTCAACACTGGATTCTCAATTAGTTGCATAGTGACTCAATGAATATTTGTTGGATGAATGAATAGATTGGTAAAGATAATAAGTTCTTTTAAAAGAATCTAGCTACACATTTATGTACATGTATTTTAGATTATACTATTTCTTCTTACATAAAAAAGTCCAAAGATATATTGTCACTATATCACATTCAAAAGTTGTATTACCAATAGCATCTCCTTCTTGTAGCTTTAATTATGTTAACCTAATTAAAAAACGTTTTCTTTTGAAAGCAGAACTGTTTCTTTGGTGCTCATGTCGAGTTTTGGTACATATTATAAACAAGTTGAAAGTAGAACAAAAACTAAGCAGTCTTTTTAATCTAATCAATTTTTTCTCCTCTAATTCTATTATTTTGAAAAATCTGTTTGTTGCCATAGTGATCAACTCTCAATGTAAAATTAAATCACACTAACTTTCAAATTTCAATAGCATACCACTGCCACCTACTTCTTTCAAAAATGTTCAGATCTTCTAAACACAAAGTACCTTAAAAGTCTCACTTTGGAGAAGCTGAAGTGGGACCTGGGGGACTGGGAAAGTCTTATGAATGAAGAATGGAAGTCAATGAAAAAAGTGAAATTTGAAAATAAATTAATTTAACATGAGAAATAGCACTTTCTCTCCAAGGAGCAATTCAGTCTTTCCAATATACTTCTTAAACTTTCATTTTATAATTAATATGATAATGATGAATTGAGCCTAAAATAAGAATAATTGGAGGATAAAGGTGTATGGTCTGCATTAGAACTTCTAGATTATTCTTAATACACAGTCTTTAGAAAGCAATGAGAAATTTTTGTCTAGTAGAAAGATGTAGATAAGAAGTTCACAAAGGAAATTAATAAAATGGTTGATAAATGGACAAAGAAATTAAAGTAAAACAAGATGTAATCTTTTGTCCAATCATTAATAAAAATTAAAGAAATGATAATGCCACTGTAGCTAAAGCTTAGTGGAATTGAGCATTTTTATAAACTATGGTAAGGATGCAAATTATATTACAGCCTTTTGGGATATCTTTAATTCAAAATTCTACTTCCAGTAATTTATCTAATTGGGAAAATAGTGAATAGGGATATATGTTCACAATGTTAGATGTAAAATGATATTCATCTTGGATTTGTTTTTATACAATAGATAAAGTCAATCTAATGTATGTCAGTGGGAAATTGTTCTCTAAATTATGATTTAATCATGTAATGGAGTGTTCTGAAGCCACTGAAAATGATAATGTATATATGTAATTATTGATATGAAAATCCTCATATTGACATGCAAAGATATCTACATAAGATTTCTTGGAAAAATAGGGATTTAGAAGACTTCTGAAAATACACAAAGAAAAATAAATGTGAGTATCCACAAAAACAGGTCTGATACTGTTACATGAAAGTGTGGACTGTGATTATTGCTAAGGAATATGCTTGCAATTGTCAACAATAGAGATGTTTCCATTTTTGTTACACACCAAGTAAGTTCCTTATAGAATTTGAAACCTAAATGCCAAGAAATGAAAAATGAAAAACTATTAGGGCTGGATTCTCAATTACTGTACCTTGGAATGTAATTCTCAATTACTGTACCTTGGATTCTCAATTAATGTACCTTGGAAATAAGGTAGATCTACAAGAAAGTGGTGATAGTAGAGTTGGAGCAGACTTATAGAAACACCTGACACAAGCTGTTACTCAACAAATAGTTATTGAATATTAACCTGAGTTTAGCTCCTCTCATTTTACAGGACAGGAAGCCTAGCTCTGAGGGCAAATTTCTGGTCACACAATGAAGGGAAAACCCAGATTTCCTGATTCTCAGTCTCTTACTTTTTCCTCCTGAACAGGTCACACCTGTTGTTCAGGTAATTGCCTGTGTTGTACAGTCAGAGTTGTGTGTGTGTGTTTTGTTTTTTTTTTTAATGGATGGCAAATTCTGAACTAAAAAAATGTGACTCAAATAAAAGAACTAAACTTACATAGAAATTACGGACTGTGCTTCTGTTTGGTAGTTTAGAACTGATTACAAATTACACCCAAAACAACACCTCTTTGAGTACATTACTAAATATTTCCAGTGACCAAAGACATTTCCTCCATGGAAACCCAAACAGTTGCCTGTTTATTGTTATGCTATGGGGCAGGATTTCTAGGAATCTTTCTAGGAATCAACGGCTTACCTGATGTGTAGTCTCTCATTATTGACCTGCCTCACTTAGGTACCCTTCTGACTAACAAAGCATTTCTGTTACTGTAAGTCATCATTCCTGAATCCAAGTAATTTCAGTTTGCTTCCCTATAATATAGAAGATGGATATAAAATGGAGTCAAATGTTAATGGGGAAAGCTCATAGTTCTCAGATTCTTGACCTGATATGTTCTAGAACACTGAAAAGCATCACAGGTTTTATCTGGGAATTATTTTTTTTTTAAGATTTTATTTATTTATTACAAGAACTGGGATACAGGCCAGATGCAAAGGAGGTTGAAAGGATTCACCAGAGACAGAGCGGGGAACAGAACAGGCAGACTGATGAAATACACTGCTGAGGGAAGCAGCGAACATGACAGGAGAGGTCTGCTGCGCCATGTAGGACCCTCGCTGGCAGGCCGGGATGGAACCGGCGCTGCAGGGGCTGTGGACAGCTTCACAGCTGGGTGCTCAACAGCCTGCACCACCAGGGGAGACCCATATCTGGAAGTTATTGACTGGTGTCTCATGGGTTCTCAAGGCAAACACTCACCTACGTGGGGGTTAAGGTCACCCTCACATCTTCCTCACTGACTGGTTTCTTCTTTGGTGAACTCTGCCGTCAGATACAATTTACCCTGCTGCCAGTAACTGCCACTGTAACTCTGGAAGGCCAGAGTTCATTCTCTGGTTCTTGCTGGATGTTTTCAAGTGTACCAAATATCAGTGATACTCTGCTGACA